AAAATGGAACGGATGAAAAAGGGATGTAATGGGACAAATGGTCCATTTTTGCATTGGTAGCGGATCTAAAAAACTGATGTAAAGACTGATGTAAACTGATGAAAAACAGATATAAACTTTTTCTTTGAAAAAACGAGACTGAACTAATGAAATGAAGGGTCCGTACATGTGAAAGTGGCTTTTTTTCCCCCACTTTGAGTCACATAAAGGGACATTTATCAATCCTGTTGCAAGGTAGAGCTCCCATGCCTTCCCTAGGTCTTCTGAAATGTGGAAAGCTGTGAAAGTCAGCTGCAGCAGCAATTTTGCTTAGTATTTCAGTCTTTCATGATTATTAAAGTCCAACTATGGATGCAACTACTTGCATGATTTTTATCTTTAAAGTGTTACTAAACCAGGGACCCTGCATTCACTATATCCGGTCTCCCACAGTACACAGAACATGGAAATGCAATTATTTTAGTAAATATAAACTGCTAAATACCTTTTCTCACCAGCAGTTAGAGCAGTCTTGTGACTTCTATCAGTGTCCAGCTGAGCACTGGTTAAAGCTTGTAGGAGTTTTCATTCTGCCCTAGGATGCAGAACCCTTGACCCCTGTCTGTACAGTGCTGATTTGCCCTATGCTGATCACCCTCCCAAAAGAAAGAAAAAAAACTCTCTAGCAATACATACTAAACTGAGCATGTGCTGCGTGACTCCTAGAGCTCTGTACTATCAGATGGATTGGGGACAGTAGAAGGGGAGGATCAGAGAAGACAGGATCAAACAGCACAACTTTTTACACAATGCAGATCATTAACCCCTTAGGTTCCACAGTAAATATATGCTTTATTGCATATACAGACTGATTTTACTTTTGTGGGTTTAGTAACACTGTAATTAACACATTATTAGTCTCCTGTTTTCACTTTTTTTTTTTTCTTTAGAAGCTCTCCAAACTCCTCTGGGATCTCCTGCAATATGCTCCCCACTGCCTCTATGAACAAGTTTCAGTGTTCGGTCTCTGCATCCTTTACTCTGCTGTGCCATTTATAAAGCACAACATAAATGTGACCACTATGCTGTGCTTTATGAAGGTGGAGGCACAGCACTAAAACTGGTGTCAGACACTGTTCGGATGCATTGTGATACCAAAAGTGTGATTTCTCACTGTAAATAACATGAGCTCTCAAAGGAGCTAAGAGAGCTCCTAAAGTAGTAAAACATGAGGATGTCAATATGCAAATTTACAAAAAAAAAAAAAAGTTGGGCTTTAATTCATGCATCCCAGCAAAGGTACATACCTGCTTTAAATAATCACAGGGAGCGTACATAAGGTTACGTAGAGGAAAAAGATTACATTCCTTTATGTATAGAACAAGTATTGGGTGACATATTTCAAGTGCTGTCTTATCTTACCCAAAAGTACACCAATGCTGGGATACAATATGAACTGCATCGTCAAATGCATATAGCAATGCTCCACAGCAATACTTTTCTGATTACTTCAGAAACCAATTAACCACTTCAATACCGGGCACTCTTACCCCCTTCCTGCCCAGGCCAATTTTCAGGTTTCAGCGCTCTCACACTTTGAATAACAATTGCGTGGTCATGCAACACTTTACCGAAACTAAAATTTTATCATTTTGTTCACATTACTAGAGCTTTCTTTTGGTGGTATCACCACTGGGGTTTTAATTTTTTGCTAAATTAACAAAAAAAAAAAGACTGAAAATTTAGGAAAAAAAAATAAAAACACGTTTTTCTTTGTTTCTGTTATAAGTTTGTATATACATAATTGTTCTTCATAAATTTAGGCCAAGATGTATTCTGCTACATTTCTTTGGTGAAATTAACCCAAATCAGGATGTATTATTTAGTTTGTAGGAAAGTTATAGAGTTCACAAACTATGGTATAGATCTGAAAATTGATCAATCCTGAAGTACTGACGGCCAATCTAAATTTCTTGAGGCCAAAAATGTCAGAACAGTACAGATATTCCCAAAATTACCCCTTTCTGCAAAGTAGACAGTCCGACGTATTTCAAAAGAGGCATGGCGAGTTTTTTGAAGTTGTAATTTTTTTGTCATAATTTTTCGGAAATTAAGAAATTAAAAAAAAAATGTTCACAATTTTTTTTACATACTGTCACCAGTGCAGTACAGCGCCATCATATAACTGGTGTGGCAGTGATCAGGGACACTGACTGGTGACAGTACGAGAAAAAAAAAAAGCATATTTTTTTCAATTTTTATATTTTTATTATTTTTTATTACATTTTTCCTCTTTAAGATTTATTTTTCATATTGTACTATGAGCAAAGTAGTATAATGTTACCATAGTAACATTGTACTACTTTGGGAAAGTGAGCAGTATTTTTTTTTTTTTTACACAATTTGATTGCTTATAGCAAATAATTTCTTTGCTATAAGCAAGCATTTGACTGAATGAAAACGATTAATTCAGTTTTTTTTTTAGTGTGTGATTAGCTGTGATTGGCCACAGCTAATCACATCACACAGATGGGCTGTGATTGGCCCAGCCTGTGCATGTGATCGCTGTGACCATTCACAGCTAGACACAGTTGTATACAATGGATGGTATGAAAGGAAGCCATCCATTGTATACAACTGTCATGTAACCTGCTGTGATTGGTCACAGCAGGTCACATGGTACTGACAAAGGGGCCAGTACACAGATCTGTCATGTCATCGGCCGTGTCCGAGGTACATGGCCAGTGACAGATCTCTCCACAGTGCGGCCCTGCGGGCACGCACAAAGCGTGATCCAGGAAGGACATCATATGACGCGCTCCCAGAAGGATGAAGTGTTCCCCCAGCATTTGACCATAGGCCGGGCGGCAAGTGGTTGAAGAGACATATTGGTGGTATGGGTTGCTGGGAGCAAGTGCTGTAATCCAGGCTTTCCTGCATGTTACCTAAACTTGATAGAAATATTGAGTCTGGCTCTTCTCTGGCCACATTACATGTACTTTCTTCTGGTGAACAGCAATAGTGCTGCCACCAGGATGCAGAACTAATTACTGTTGCAGATAGATCAGTAAAAAAATAAAAAAAAATGTGATTCTCCTCCTTTAACCACTTGCCCTTCAGAAGGTTTTACCCCCTTCATGACCAAAGCATTTTTGCTACTCAGTACTGTGCTACTTTAACTGGCAATTGCTCTGTCATGCAATACTGTACCCTAATTACATTTCTATAATTTTTTCACACAAATAGAGCTTTCTTTTGGTAGTATTTGATCACCACTGGGTTCTTTTATTTTCTGCGATATAAACGAAAAAAAAAAAAAACTGAAAATGTTGAAAAAAAATATTTTCTACTTTCTATTAAAAAAAAAACAAATTTCTTCATAAATTTAGACCAAAATGTATTCTGCTACATGTCTTTGGTAGGCAGAAAAAACCAAATAAGTGTATATTAATTGGTTTGTGTGAAGTAGAAAGTAGACAGTCCAAGGTATTAGTAAGAGACTTGGCGAGTTTTTTGAAGTTGTAATTTTAAATAAAAAATTTTCACAATTTTTTTACTTTTACATACTGTCAGCAGTGCAGTACAGTACAGCATCATCATATGACTGGTGTGTTGGTGATCAGGAACACTGACTGGTGACAGTATGTAAAACAAAATATAAAATAAAAAAAAATAAATACATTTTGTTAAACATTTGAAAACATTTTTTATTTTTTTACATCCGGTCATCAGAGTAGCTCAGTACCACCATAGTGACATAGTACTACCCTGGGGGGGGGGGGGGGGGTTCAGGGATTTTTTTTGTTTACACTGTTATTGCTTATACAGTGATGGTCACTGTATAAGCAATAGCTTTAGCTGTCACAAATGGATTTTCCATTCATGAACAGCTTGTGATCTGTGACTGGCTACAGCTAATGGTACAGGTAGCCAAGTACCATGTGACTGCTGTGAGCCAATCACAGATTACAACAGTAAGCAAGCTGTTAATTAATGGAAAGCCATTCATGACAGGTTGTTTACATTGTTATCATGTGATCGCTATGACCAATCATAGTGATCATGATACCCGGTTACAGTAACTGGTCGCAGGAGAGGCGCGCTGGGCGCTCCAACCTTGAGCAGGCTGATTCACGTATATATGTGACTGTGCCTTCGGCTGCCTCCCTGTCTCAGTAAATATACTGTGACAGGGACACAAAGTCTCTAAGTGGTTACAGACTTTGTCACAACTTAGAAAATGCAGGGAAAGAAATTTTTTATGTTTATTTGCAGTGTTCTTGCTTACCATTCATTTATTTTTATTCACCTGCAACGTGCCTTTGAATGTGTTAGAAAATATGACTACTCCAGGACAGTCATTTACCTGCAAAGACCCTTCCCTCTCCTGAGAATGTCTAACTACTCTCTGTGCTGGCCAACTTTTTCCACCACTCCCTTCACCTCCCTACATAATATTTTATGTAGCGGTCGACTTCACAGTGAAGATGGCGGCACTCAGTGGCACGCTCAGGTTTTTTTGGGGGGCTTTTACACAAAAGTAACATGAATAAAATATGTTAAATGCACACATAATCCTTTTCTGTTGAAATGAAAATGGTAACAGGGTCTCTTTAATACGTTAGAATGACCTTCTTAGCATTTTATCAGTAACTCCAGATGACTGGTTCCTGTGATTTCTTTCGTTGTAATGCATATTCACAATAAAAACAGTGATTATAGTCTCAATAAAGTGCCTTACAAACTTTTAGCAGTTTTTTCCTACGATTCGCTAGCATATGCCTTTCTTTCCAGACCATTCAAGGAGGCCTGGCAAATGTGCTTGGTGCTTTGTAAAAGGTATCGTCCCAATTGCATTGAGTGAAGCAGAACTGGACATCCATCTACCCTCAATTGACAAATTTTAAGGATGAATAGCTAATTTTTGTGCACATATACACTGCTTTAAATAAACAAAGCCATAGATAAGTCCATTCATCTACAGATGTTAAACATTTTTACAATATGTTCATTAGATCCCATCAAAAAGCATCCTTGATGTTTTTCAATTGTCGCACAGCAAGATCCACTGGTAGGTTGAACTTCAGGTTGCTGAGTCGGCTGAGGATGTTTAAAGCGCTTTCAAAACCAGTGCTTGCCATGTAACTCCAAGGCTGGTAGTGAGACTGTATCAACACCCCAGATTTGCAGAGCAAGTTCAGCCAAGAGACAAGACGTTGTTCATTCAATGCCATGCAGAGAAGAGCCTTAAATTCAGAGTCTGCACCCCGCTTGAAAGGATCGTGTTCTGTTAAAACTGTGTGAATGGCAGAGAGGAGGCTCTGTTTGGGGGTAACCTTAGTACTCCCTGAAACGGGGAGGGAAAAGGACTGTGAGAGCTTACGGGCAGGAGAGTCAACAAATGCTTTTCCATTTTTCTCATTGTAGTATTTGACAAAAAGTTCCCAGGGGTGCATAGTGGGTGGAGAGGTAGAGAAGACAGGTATGAGACAGGCAATGGGTGCAAGAACCAAACTCATTCCTTGAGATGTAGCATAAAGACCATGTGACAGTAGATCTCTGATTGCAAGTGCCAGCTCTTTCCTCACGACTACTGTTAGCTCATCTTTGCCTCCCAGTGCAATTTCCTGCATGTTGGCATAGCTGATAACATGCTCCTGAGGCTGCTGTCGCACTGCCAACTGCTTCACTTTTTCTACAGAAGCCTCCAGCTTCTTTAACAATGGAGTGAAGTCCCTGTTGTGTTCATCCTGCTTCCAGAGGTTTTGTGGCACATGTCCTGTACCACAACCAAGCTGGCTGACTGCAAAGATCTGTAGGACAGCCAGGGCACGACGTAACAGATGTAGTCCCGTTTCTCTCATTTGCTTTGCCTGCTCTGGACTCACTGTTGGAAAAGAAGCAGTACATGTTTTTATTCAGAAATGTGAATTTAATTGACATTAACAGATAATGGGCGAGCTTACTGACAAACTGCAGCATTATCCTAAAAACAGTCTTTGAAAAAAAAAAAAAAAAAATTATATATATATATATATATATATATATATATATATATATATACACACACACACACACACAAACACACATACTCTGTATGTATGCATATATATAGATTTTTTATTTTCCTAAAGTGTATGTCTAGGTAAAAAAAAAATGGAGATTTTTACATTGTGTAAATTCTTTTTCTTGAAGTCCATTAAAGTGGTTGTAAACCTTTACATATACCCAGTGAAGCCACTAGCCTCAAGTGATACACAGAGTTGAATAAAATCCTCCTATGTACATTGTACCTGTTTATGCGCAGCTCTTTCTTCTCTACAGCATTCTGTATGAGAATTTATACAGCTTTTCTGAGCTTTCAGAAAGCAGGGGGCAGGATTCTGAAGTTACACGCTGCAGAGTTCAGTGAGAGGGGATTGGAGCACACAGCACACAGAAACAGAGCTGAGCTGTCAATCACAGGCTGTGTGCCTGAGCTCCCTCCTCGGTCACCTTTTTATCTCTTGGTGTCAGGAAAACTGGTCAGAAGTGACTCATGCAGATACCAGAAGAATGAGGCAGCATACAACTATAATAGAATATGCTTTGTTCATATTTCATGTCATAGGTTTACAACCACTTTAAGGGAAGCAGGAGTTTAGCCATTCTTAAACAGTCAGGTTATACTGTTACTTACAGAAGGTTGAGACATTGGCCAACAAAAACCATCGAGCCAGCCCTCGTGTAAACCTGCCTATAGCGATCATGCTTTAGTTTTGTGAGCAAGTAGTACAAGAAGCCAATAACACAGATGGGGAGGATATGCGTCCCTCAAATGATGAAAAAATCTTATTTTCATATTCATTTGTTCAGGGGTACAGGAATGTTGGAATTCTTAGGCCTCATGTACACTGGACATTATAAAATGCCAGTAGCATTAGCTGTATAATGCCATGTTAAAAACATGAGTTTTGTTGTGTTTTTTGTAGCGTTTTTTTTTTTTTTTTTTTTTTTAAGTAAAACTATACACCCACCAAAGCTTGAGGCTCAAGAACATTTATAAACACCAGATAACGGCGTTTTTCAGTGCTAGAGAGTAAATAGAGTAAAGTGCAACAGCGCTAGGTGTCTAATAATTGATACGAGAAATAAATGAATAAATAAATAAATTAGACAAGCAGCTAGCATAGAAAGTAAACCTCGAGAACTTCGGATAGTGAATTGACCATAAAAATATGCAGCGCTCATATGTTAGATAATATGATCGCATAAATAGAACAAAGATTCATGATTAAAATAAAGCATTAAAATATTAAACTAGTGACTTCTGTGGTGCATCCAAGGTTGAGAAACCAGTAGAAAGTTCGTGACTCTTGTGGTAAATAACTGAGAATAGTTTGCACTAACCAGATGTCTCAGCACATGGAGTATGGAGTAATTAAGACCTACTCCTGGTACTCTGAAAGGGAAGCCACTGGAGAGGATGATGTCATCTTATCTCTCGCCACTAGATGTCATGTTCCCAGGACAGCAGGGCAGAGATCCCAGAGGTGTACATCAGCCAATGGAGGGATTAATCCAGCACATCAGACAGCAACCCACAGAAAGCCAGGAAGAATCGAGCACCTTCAAAAAGCCCGGGCTCCCTCCATAATAAGAGAGCCACAGGCCAGAAGCTTTGATAGTGTAGTAGGTATTTATTTGTGTAGTAATTTCAAATAGTATAAAACACACTTACAAAATTCAAATTGCAGGAACCAGGGGGCAGCTATATAATAAGTCCAGACAGTTGGGGGGCACCTCCCTGACGTGTTTCGTGTGACACACACGTTTTCAAAGGGGATTTTTACAGCTGAAAATCTGAAAATGCCCCTGCCAAAAAATGCTGACAAAAGTCTATGTGCATGGACACATAGGATAACATGCTGGGGAGTTACTGGCTGTAGAATAAAAACACCTGGCACCCAAAACAGCAGCTGTAAAAAATGCCCAGTGTGCATGAGGCCTGAAAGTCAAGATGTTGACAAGCATTCCAAGTGAGGGGTCAGCAACAGCCACTGAGAGAGATGCAAAACCAGCTTGGTGCCTTGCCCAAATTCCAGACTCGCTAACACAGAGAGCGACTGAAAGGGACTGAGTGGCCACAGAGAAAGGTAATGATGCTAAATGGTTCCTCAATAATACTATAAACCCCACTAACAGGTAAATGGGAAAAAGTCTGTTACACATAAGGAAAGGATCAAGGGGTCAAAGGTCCAAAAGGAGAGGACTTTCTTAACAAGGACTTTAGCCAAAGAGCTCCACTTAAAATGGATCCAAGATTACCAGTGCTAGATAGTTGACAAATCATATCTAAATAAGGTTTGCAGATGAAAGGATCCTCGGCATTGCACGAACTGTGAGAATTTGGAAAACTCTTTTTATGAAAGATCTCCTGAGCATTTCACAATGGGGGATGCAAGAAAACAAACAACAGGGTCAGTGTTATGAACAGGGTTTGGAACTGTGGGAGCACACAGAAGAGTCAGATCTCTCCTTGATAGGCAAGTGAGCTGCAGGGACTGATCCCTGTGGACCTTGTATGTAAGTTTCTCAGGAGAGGATTAGGGACGTCAAGCACTGCAAAAGGGTGCAAACACCTGTGAGTGAAAAGGACTCCACTGGAAGAATGTGAAATTGAGTGGGAAACATCCCTGAGGATAGGCTCCTACTAAATTAGGAAACAGAAATATAAAAGTAAAGTAGGAAACAGAGGTCCCAGAGTGTGGGGAACTCAAACAAACTTGGGAAGGTGCACATAGGGGTGCAGTAATTCCAGAAGAGTAAGGAACGGCAGCTGAAGAAGGTGCTTGACTGAAAGGTCTAATGTGGAGGCAAAAGAAGGGAATTTTGAGCATCCAAATTGTGGGGAAATACATTACCAAGGGACTCAGCATGATGGCAAACATGGCCCAACTTAAAGAAGTGAAAGCACCTTCATGCAGAAAGCTGAGCAGACTAAGCTGGCTCCGAGACCTGTGGCTTGAGTTGGATGTAGGCTCTGTCCATTGAGGAATTACTACTGCAGTAGTAGATGAAGACTGGGGGTTACTATGCCTTGTCAACGGATTTTGTGCACTGAGACAGGAACACACTTCAAATCACCAGTGATCTCACTAAAGACACCCAGAAGGGGGAGGAGCCTTAAGTACCAGTTGGGGACCACAGAAGAGGAGGATCGGGGCTGCTCTGTACAAAACCACTGCACAGAGCAGGTAAGTATAACATGTTTGTTAATATATTTATATTTATTTTTTTTTTAAAAGGGCAAATGGAAAAGTTATTTGATCTTATTCTAGGTGTCCCAGGTGCATAGCCAAATGCCCTACAAATTTAACAGATGGGGGGTATCCCTCATGTAAGACACAAAGTGTCTGCAAGAAGGTATCACAGCTGAAGTGTGGGGCTACAGATATCTGCTGCATATGCTCTAGGACACAAGAGCTAGCTCTGCTGATGAAAGGGATTTTATCCAAAGTGACATGGTTTCATAAATCAGTCACCACCAACAAAGTCACTCCAGTTAATTCAAACTGAAACCTAAGTATAGATTGAGAGAACACCATCAACTCATTTGCTTGTCTGCTTGTTAGGGTAGATCACTGGAGCATCTACAGAATGCAGAGACCACAAAAAAAAAATCCTTTTCAAAAGGGAAAAACCACCACATTGTTAGGAGGAGCCCAGGACCCTATAGGTAGTTTCCAGCCCTTGCAGAGGAATTTTTTAAATACTAGGTGTAGTAGGCAGCTGTAAAAGCTCCCAAAGACCCTAGGTCTAAAACAGGAGGCTGAATCTAAATGTAGGGCAGTATGTGCAGCATCAACAAGGTTGAAACAACTTCTTGTAAATTCTATGGAGTTTGCTCAAAAACAACCTTTACAAGAGCAGACTATATAGAATCTGAAACAGGGATAATAAAAGGGTCCTAGTACCCAGGCACTATTAAATATGGAGGCCTAGAATGGTTACAGTGAGGCTTTAGGCAGAATTCTACATAAGGACATAAGGGTCCTTGTTGACACAGGAAGAGATGTCTTGTCCTCACCTGATGAAGCTGAAGAAGACTCCAATGAGGACAATCCTATAATAATAGGGGGTCTCAGGATCTAGGCTACACCCACTGGTTCCTTTAAAGAATATGGAGAAATCGCACTTAGAAGTAGTAGTAGGGGATGAGGTCACCCATTGCTGAGAGACTGTCCTCTGTGCATCTTTGAAAAAGAGGGATTTTGACGTACACGTAAAGTTCCATATTCTGAAGTACAGTACAGGACACAGGCAAAGTATTCATAGACCCTGTGCTCATACCTTCAAGTGATTGGACACTGGCAAAACTTTCAAGGACTAGTTCCCAGTGTGTCTCTCCTATAAGCCTGCTTCACTACTCAGTTGTGCACAAGCAATGCAGAGTAATCAAGGAATGGTAGGGAGCGTGGCCTGTGCCCTGTATTGTACTCTAAGATATGGAATTTACAGGAAAGTCAGAATTCCTAAATCAAAATCATACAGGACACAGGAACAGTATTCATAGATCCTAGGAAGTCCCTAAGCAAAGAATAAGAAGGATGGGCAACAACTGTGCAAACAGGCCCAACAACAAGGGTCAACAGACCCAACTTCAGAGTGCTAATGCAAGAAAAGGGGCAGAAAGCTGCATCCGTAGAAAAATGGACATCCAGCTTGTAGAATTTTTAAACGTAAGAACAGAGGACCTGATGGTGGCGTTAGAAAGCTGGTTACAGAGGCCCGAAGCTGGAAAGCCCAGCAAACTGAAAACCAATTTGGTGGAATGGGCATGCAAAAGTGCTGAAAGATATTTCAGAGTGCGATTTTAAGTTCCAGTGCTCAGATTTTTTATTTATC